TAAAACTTTCTGTCCAGGCTTAAACTTCTTTTTTATTATCTTCAGACCATGCCATTCTTTCATTCGCTCCTTATAAATCCTAGCATTATCATTAGATTCATTCATAGTTTCTTTATTCTCATTCAATTGAAATAATCTTTTCTCACCAGAATCTTTCAAATTGAAATTGAACTCCTTAATAGCCCAATAAGCTTTATTTTCCAATTCTACTGGTAAGTGACAAGTCTTTCCAAAAATTAATCTATAGCTTTGTGGGGACATTCCTATTATTATCTTATAAGCTGTCTTGTAAGCCCACAATGCAGTATCTAATCTAGCAGACCCATTCATTTTATTAAGATTCATAGTTTTTTTCTAAATTTTTTTTAATTTCATGGTTAGATACTTCTGTTAAACCACTAGTATAAGGATGATAAGCAGTTGTAATTTTATGCATAATACTATATTTTTCCACCAATCTAGCAATCATTGCATTCCTAAAATGAGATCCACTATCGGTAATGATTATTATCAACATTCCATATCATGTAAAAATATTTTTAATTACAAATTTTGAAACACTCAGAGAATCACATCGAGTTAAAGCGATTGCTTCAATCCATTTTGGCACATAATCCACAATAATCAATATATACACATTTCCAAATGAATGTATAAATGGTCCCATAAAATCCAATCCAGATGCATAAAAAATTTCAATTTCTAAATTTTAATGAACAGTTCTATTATTCCCAAAATGACCTCCAAATTCAAAGTCATGATATTTTTGGATAATTTCCTAAATTTCTTTATAAGGCACACATCGTCTCAACACTAAATATTTGCATTGTTTGTACAAATATGGGTCATCCCTAAAATAAGATTTTGCATCATGAATGAATTTCTTTTACTGTTGTCTTGTCAGTTCATATGATAAAATACAACTAACTATTGTCTTGTCAGTTCATATGATAAAATACAACTAACAATATCATTCACAATATCAGCATACCATGATATTTCTTATCCTTTTACAAAATAAAGTTGTTCATCAGGAAAAGTTTCATTAATTTTTTTTCCAAATCAAGTGTTTATTCCTATCCCAACCTAGGTAGATGATCAGAAAATTTATTATCAGTCCCTTTCCTATCGACTATTACAAAATCAAACTCTTGCATCATAAGTACCCATGTAATTAATATTAGTTTCACATCCTTCTTTTGCATTAGATATTTAATAGTTGACTGGTCAGTATGCACAACACATTTAACTCCAATTAGATATAACCTAAACCTAAACTTATCAAATGCATAAACAGTGGCTAATAACTCTCTTTTAGTAGTAGTGTAATTAATTTGAGCATCATTAAGAGTCTTACTATGGTAATATATAACTTTAAAAATTTTGTCATATCTCTACCCTAAAACAACTCCATTTGCATAATCACTTGCATCACACATTAATTCAAATGGTTTCTTTCAATCTGGTGAAATAATTATTGGAGAAGTGATCAATTTTTCCTTTAAAGTTTCAAAAGCTTTAAGACACTCTTGGTTGAAGTCAAGTTTTGTATCCTTTTCAAGAAGTTAGCATAAAGGCTTAGTAATTTTTTAAAAATCTTTAATATATCACTTGTAAAATCTAGTATGTCCTAAAAAGCTTATAACTCCTCTTACAGTCGTAAGTGGAGGTAGGTTAGATATAACCTGTATTTTTGTAGGATCTACTTTCATGCCATTTTATGAATTTTTATGCCCAAGTACAATTCCTCCTGCAACCATAAATTAATATTTTTCCCAGTTTAATACGAGATTTGTCTTTTCACGTCGTTCTAGAACTTTCTCTAAATGATTTATACATATTTCAAATGAAGTTCCAAATACAGAAAAATAATTCATAAAAAATTCAATCCCAATTTCAATCAAATCACTGAAAATTGACATCATACTTCGTTGAAATGTTGTAAATCCAAAAGGTATTCGTCAAAAAGAAAAAGTTCCATAAGTACTAGTCAATGTTTTTTTTCTCTTGATCCTCTAGAGCAATAGGTATTTGATGATAACTGACATATCCATCTAGAGAACAAAATATTTGTGCCAAGCCAATCTATCCATCATTTGGCCCCAAAAAGGTAAAAGAAAATGATCCTTCCTGGTGGCAGAATTTATTTTTCTATAATCTTAGTTGATCAAATCTTTGTTGATCAACCATCCAATGACTTGTCATGTTGATATTAATTTATTATTCTCCTTTTTCACAACTCCTTTCCTTGAAACACGGTGAATTGAACTTACCCAAACACTACCTGAAATAGGATATATTATTCCAACATCTAACCATTTTAAAATCTCTTTCTTGACAACTTCTTTCATCATATGATTCAATCTCCTTTGAGGACCAGCTTTTGGTTCATGATGATCTTCCAATAAAATTCTATGCATACAAATTGAAGGACTGATTCCTTTAATATCAAATAATATCCATCCAATGACTTTCTTATATCTTCTTAAAGTTTCCAATATTTGTTGTTCTTGCATATCAGTTAATTCTGAGGATACAATAACAGGTAATGTGGATAAATCTTCTAAGAATGCATACTTTAAATCTGTAAGAAGTGTTTTCATTTCTAGTTCAGAAGGTTTCTCAACAGATGAAATCAAATTTTTGTTATTATCTGTAGGATCTAACATTTCAAATATTTTATAATTCACACTTTTCTTGAACATAGACCAATTCTTTATTGCTCACTTCCGTAGATTCAACTTGAATTTTATCCTCATCTTCATATTTCAAATATTCTTTCTCAAATTTCTTTTCAAATGTCTTTGTGAAATATTTATGACTTAAACATTCGTTAATATCAATTCTGAAGCATTCAATCTCTTGCTATTTTGTAGGGTATCTCAATGATTTTGTAATATTAAATGTAACCTCTTGATTACTAACTCTCATAGTTAGTTCTCATTTCTACACATCTATCAAGGCTCTTCCAGTGGCAAGGATTAGTCTTTTTAAAATGATAGGAATTTTCTTATCTTCCTCCATATCTAATACAAAAAAATTCATAGGAAAAATACATTTATCAACTTTTACTAAAACATCTTCTAAAACTCCTTCAAGGTAGGTAATCGAACGATCAACTGACTAAAGGGTTATAGTTGTAAGTGAAATATCTCCTAAATCCAACCTTCTAAAAATTGATAAGGGCATAAGATTAATACTTGCTCCTAAATCACATAAAGCTTTTCCAAATAAATCTTTCGCCAATAGCACAAGTAATAATAAAACTACCAGGATCATTAAGTTTTTCAGGAAGCTTTTTCTGAATTATAATGTTAAACTCCTCACTGAGTGCAACAGTCTCATTATTTACAAACTTTGTTATCTTAATAAGTTTATCCTTCATGAACCTCACATAGCTTGGAATTTGTTCCAAAGCTTCAACAAATGGAAAGTTCATTGTCAATTTCCTTAATATCCCTAACTTATTTTGAAAATTGGTTATCTCTATTTTCTGCTTTAGTCTTTGAGAAAATGGAGGTGGTGGTCTTTCTACATTGATTTTCATTGGTTTAATAAGACATTCAGACTCAAAATGAAAATCTTCACCAGATTCCACCTCATCTTTTGCAACTTCAACTTTCTCTTTTTTTTGAACTCTGGTTTCCAATTCTTTTTCACTTTTCAGTTGAATAGCCTTAATTTGTTCTTCGTTCTGATCTTTAGGATTTACTTCAACATTAGTTGACAACATTCTTGGAGGTCTATTGCTAAGTGCAGTAGCAATACATCCCAATTGATTTTCCATATTTTTAGTTGCAGCTCCATGTATCGTTGCAACATATTCGAGGTGCATTGTTACACCTTCTTTGGAGTGCGTGGTTGCATGACACACTAAATGACATATTGCTCTGTCGGATGTTTTATTGTTCAACAATGTATATTGGGATTCCACAATGCACATTGTGACTTTACAAGGGATTCCATAGTAAGGATCAAGTGGTGACTAATGGTGGTCGACAATTGTTGACCACTATAAGAATGAAAAAAGTTGATTGGATCATCAAATGACATTGTTCTGTAACTGCTATTTCTCGTGGCCCATTTTAAGGCTCAGGTGCTGGACCCTCTCAAGAGGAGGGTAGAGCACTATTTATAGAGGCTTAGAGAGTCTTAGTTACATATTAGGAAGGAATTCAAATCACTGCATCAAAAGGGCCTAGAGAGATTCCTTTAATCAGAGAACAATTGGAGAATAATTGAGTGTCTTAATGATGTCAAAGCTGATTGATCTTGGGCTTGTTGGATTAGTCTTACAGAGACACTCAATTTAGCTATATGCTTATCATATTTGAAATCGGTTTGATCATTCAAATATGCACTGAAAGCCTCCCGGAGTGGTTTAACAGTTTGATTTAGGCTTGATTTGACTTTGATTGAACCAATTTTGCTGTCGTTGGGTGCATCTCACCAAGCTAGTTAGTTTGACCATAAGTTTACTGAAATTGAAGTTCTTGAGATTTTTAATTGTAGTTTGAATGTCCTGAGATTCGTGCTAATTGCTCATTTGTTGAATGATGTTTCAGAATTAATTATAAATCGAGCTCAAAGAAATTGTTCATATTGGCATCACTTAACAAATAAATAGAATACGGGCTATTTAAAGAGTTGAATATGAACTATTTACAAACTTTTGAGTTTTTTTTGGTAGTCTTATGTGAGCCAACCTATTTTAATATTTTTTTATAATATTAATTTATTACTCGTAAAAAATAAAAGCTCATTTTCTTTCGTGAAAAGAAAATGTTACTAAAAAAAGTAAAGGTAAAATTTTCTTTTGGTTTCCACCATGTTTAGTCTAATTTAAAAGAAAACGGCCATTGCTTCCGATATTAATTATTATCTTTTGTGAGAAATTTATTTAAATATTCATTAAATTAAAATATCTAATCAGTCCGCATCCCAAAATTTTTTTTCCTTATTTTTTTTTGAAAAATGTGTTGAATTGAAACTTCCAAAAATTACGATGTCTAATCCCTGTCTTCGTTGGCTCGGCTTTTGTGAAACCAACTTGTGAATGTAGGCAAGCGTGAGGAACTTCCCGTCTTGAGTTCACCGGGCTTAAGAAGAAGAAAATTGGGGTAAGCAAGCTGACAGATTCTAGGGAGAGAAAGAGAAGGACTCAGAGATGATGGCTTCGAATATGTCGGATGGAAAAAGCAGAGACATCCCCATCTGATAAAGCAAAAGGAAGTCGCGCCTGCCGTGGGATTCCCCCTTCACTCTTTTGATTTCTGCTTTTCCCCGTTTAAATTAGATGGTTATGAATCGCATTGTACATCATTGCCGTCTGCAATACCTTCGATCTCTGGTTTCCTCCATGCTTGGCATTGGAGCTCGATTCCATCATTAGAAACCAAACACAGAAGAGGGAAATGTGTTGAAATAGGGTAATAAGTTCAACAATAGCAGCAAGGACCTTCAAGATGGTAGCTGAGGTTGTTCATCTTTCTGTTTGGTACACTGGTCTCGGTTTTGATGATTTTTGGTACCAATGTTCGAATGTATTTTCCTAATTCTTGCAGTTTGTTGTTTGTGAACCTGTGTTTGTGCTTTCGATGTTTTTTTTTTGTTGGTTAATCCATTTAGCATTACAAGTTTTTGCTCACGAAGTTCGACTTTTTTTCATTCATTTTTATGTGATTTTCTTTATGAATTTCAATGATGGAAGCCTTCATTCCTAGCTTCTACCTTTCAGTGGCAAGTTGAACTGTTTATGTCCTGAATTATTTTGACAAAAAGATGCTCAACTGTACGTTTTTCTTCGATCTGATTGATTAATGTACTTCGTGGACTTTGTTTGGTGCCATGTCTTCAGTGCATAATTGGGCTTTCTTCTGCTTAAAATTTTCCTTTGCTTTTATTTTAATTTTTAATTGGCATGCCTTCTGCGTTGAGTTCGCTGCGGTTTGCTAGATTTTGATTTTTTTTATAATTCATTGCAGCTTTAAGTTGCCACCATGAGCAGCGCGTCTTCCTGGGAGTGCTTGTCTTGAATGCAAAATAAATCTATGGAATGGCAGATTTTCGTGTTAGAAGCCTTGAACCCGGCCAAACTAAGATCAGAAATGTCCCCATTGCTGTGACTCCAGAAGGATTCTGGTGTTGCCCTGCGCCTGTTTTGTTTCAGAGAACTATTAGACATCAAAGCAACCAGAACAAGCAGAAGAGTTCACCGCCAAGAAAGATTAATGGTCAGAAATCCACAAATCCACCAGGAGAGAAGAGACAACTTGCTCACCAGTTAAAATCTCTGGTATCTTCTGAAGACCAGAAATGTCTATCATCAGACAGCTCTTGTATAAATTCTGCAATGACCCCTGAGGAAGTAGCAAAGGCAAATTCTGTGAATCCGCCAAGAAAAATATCTGTTGGGTTTGGTAAGCCTGATACATGTGATTTAAAGGTTATTTTGTATGGTAAAGAAAATATTGCTGTGAGGATGAATGTTCACAGGAACATTCTCTCGGAACATAGTAGTTTCTTTGCAGAGAAGCTTGCTAAGCAGTCTCCTGTGATCTGCATTGAAATTGGAGACTGTGAAGATGTGGAGATATATGTTGAGGCCATTGGACTAATGTATTGCAAAGAAATTAAGCAGAGATTAATCAAGCTAAGTGTTGCTCATGTGCTCCGTATGCTAAAGGTAATTTCAGGATTCTATGAACTTTTTCTGCTTGGTGGCTTTTTATATTATATCTCAGTTAAGTCTCATTCTGTGGCATCTAATTATCTGCTTTTTTGTTTATTCTTTTAAATTAATAGCTTTAAATGATTTGTGGTACACTTCAAACTTTGCTTTTTTGCTAAACATTTGAAGTCTTACTCTTAATTTGTGTTCGAATTAAATAGGCAAGCATATTTCTAAAAGTTTTTTGGTTCGAGAAGTGTAAATGAACTAAAACATACTCCATTATGTGTTGGAGATGCTAAAGAGTGTATACAACCTTTTTCCTCTACCTATAGTTTGTGGAACACTTATAGGACATGCCATTCAAGATACTTGATTTGAGAGATTACACTTAATTCAGATTTGGGGGATAAAGATTGTGCTATCAGATTGTTACAATCAAAAGTTGTTGAGGAATACCACTTGTTTGCTCCTGTAACTTTTCTTTTTCAAAGATGAAGGAGAATATCTACTTCTGTTGTAAATGATTCCAGGAAAGGTGCACCCCATTGTTGTGGCCTCAAAGATCCTTCTCTTAACTTGGCGCCAATGCTGCAAGAGAGAGCTATCATTTTCCTTGTCATCAGAAAACAGAAGTCTGACCACTCGTGATTTTTCTTGATTTGTTCCAGTACCCAAAATATTGCTGAAGTGCCAAAACTTACTACAATTTCCAGACCTATAACAGCTGAACCCTCTTTATCTTTACATTGAATGACTACTTTTTGGCATGGAATCCAAAGGACCTCTTTATAGGGCTATTTAACCGATGGAGTTTGACATAGATTGGGGAATTAATGTCATGATCACAGATTTTTCCTCTTCCCATAAATTAAATCTCTATGAGATATTTAAAGTGATATGGATATTAAATGATTTATTCGAGCATACATTTTTAGAAAGGAAATTTACTACCTGCATTATTAATATTCATATTTTACCATTTTTAAGCTATGGTGTTTACCTTGATTCGCTATCTCACCTTATCATCTCTTGCTTAAGCATCACAAATTCTAAACTGCATTTATCGTTCTGTACCCTGCAAAAGCATGTCTAGGATGCTTTTTTTTTTTTGGCAACTTTAGAGTCACTTGTTTTCATTGTTGATACGCCATCAACAAATTTCCATTTGGCATGAATCGCGATGCGTTGCACGAACCTTGAGGCTTTTTGAGCAAAAATAGTTTAAGCTTCAATTAAGAATCATCCCAAACTCCGATTTCAACAAACTTACAGTCAAACTAATTGATTCAATGAGACAAACAAAATGATATCAAAATTATTACAGTCTGAGTCAAATTAAGGCTAGATCAAGTCAATAAGCCATTTTGAAAGCTTCTGATGCATAATAGGAAGTTCAATTTGATTCCAAATATGACAAGTTTATAGTCAAATTGAGTGTCTCAACAAGACAACTCCAACGAGCCTAAGATCATTCAAGTTTGACACAATTACGACTTTAAAGTGTCCGCTAAACACCATCCAATTATGAGAATTTCTCGGAGCCATCCAATGGAATAGTCCAAATTCCTTTCTTATTTGTAATCAATACTCCATAAATAGAGATCTACCCCCTCCTTGAGGAGGGATTGAAACCCTGAGCCAGATAAGGACAGTAGTAGCATAGAGGAGAAAAAGTGGAACACTCGCATTCTTCACTGAAGGTCGCTCTTGCAGCCACCAACCACAACCAACCATCACTCGTCGATCGTCATCGACCATCATTGGCCACCACCTGCTCCTTGTGGTGAAATCTCTTATAGGGTTAATGCGTGTTGTAGAGTTCTAATATATGTTGTGGAACAACAAAACACCCAACAGAGCAAGTTGTTACCCTGAACTCTGATCCCCTATGCGGTATATGCGTGCTTAGTGTGTAATTACTTCAATTTCAATTAACAAATAATTCTTGTTTTTCTCCACAATTCAATTTTACTCACTAGGGATACTACGCAAGTGCACGTATTGTTTCAAGTAATATATGATATTTATTTAGTCCCCAGGTATCAATCCCACGGGGAAAGAAAAACTCTTTTTATCGACTTAGTAAAACTTTACTTAAATTGTAGGTAACTTATCTAGGAATTAAGGTTGAAATCATATCAAGAAGTAACTAATACTTACAAATTCTATTTTTAAACTTAAAGAAAAAGGCTAAATGTTTCTAAACTAAATTTATTTAGAACAATTCAAATTGTTTGAAAAATTCTTCTCAGTGCAATGAGATTAAAATCATTGTAAGAATCGAATGTTTATATATTTAAATATAGTTTTGTGATAAATAGGAGCATATTTATTCATTACCTTCTTCCGAGTGCATAAAGAATACTGCTAATATAGAGTTAAGTTCCTAAATCTTTGATTATGCTGGGTAGGTTTTACCCTGTCACCCTAAATTACTCACGTAAGCTCCCAGTTGGAGCTAACCTAGCCTTAAGTTCCAAACCCTAGATCAAATTGGAAGGTTCTAGCTTGTCACCCTAGAATTATCAATTTACACCCGTCAAATCTTATTTTTCTATCTATTTGCACTCACCCCAAGTTTACTTTTTCTTCATTCTAAAGGTTAGTGTGGTAATCACTAATTGAGAAAAATCATAGCTCTCTCAGGTCATTACATTTTCACAATATGCTTTAACTTATGAATGGGCCAAATTGCATGAGTAAATAAAACATGAAGTACTATACCATCATAATTAATTAAAGGCAATTCTAAACAATTCTAATTCTACACATGATTATTTCTCATTATAAGGAGAAAAATAAAGAAAACTACTCAGATTTCATGGGGAAATTACAACAATACATGGATTGATATTTAAAAGCAGGTTTACACAATAATGCTTAACACAACTCAAACAAAAATACAAAATACTTATCTCAAATTCCTCCCCAAGCAAATCTTTTGAAGCTCCTTTGAAGCATTCTCTAACTCTCCTTCCAATCACACACACCAAGAAGAGACACAAACCACACACACTAATCTCCTTTAACAACACACAAGACCCCCACAAACAACAACCCAACACATAAAAAAAAAAACTCCCCTTGCAGGAAGAGACACCCTCTTATGATAACCCTTGAAATCCAGTATAGTCACTTCAGAAACCCCTTAAAAAAATTGATTCTGGCGCCTAAGCGCCCAGACTGACGCCTAAGCGCTAGGCTCCAGTCTGGGGGCTTAGGCGCCACTCTGGGCGCTTAAGCGTCAATCTTCTAGAAGCTCGAAATCACTGCCTGGCACCTACGTGCCAGATCCTGGTGCCATGGCTCCGGGCACTCTGTTTTCATGTACAGGGTCTGGCGCCTAGGCGCCACTTCACTTTATACTCTTTTGCTCCATTTGACCCCGTTTTGCTTCGTTTTCCCTCAATTTTTTCTAAAACTTCATCTCTTGTACCTAAAACCAAAAACATGCAAAAT